TGCGCATGTGCAGGGGGAACCTATAAAAACGCGGGTTCCATCTATCCCTTCTCTCTCTCCCTGCACAATCCTCACTAGGCCTAAGCACATCCCCTCTGCTCTCCTTCCACTAATTAACTTAGAGTGGGTTTTGTCGTGCCTCGTGGCTTTTCTCTCACGGTATACGGCGCCGCGTAATAACTGACACTTTTACTAAAGCCAAGCCCCTGTTCATTTAATACGTTCATGTCAAGATTGAACCAATGAACCAAATTCCAAGTATAACACCCCACGTCACCTCTTTACCTTCGATCATTTGATGTGTGCCCGAGAGTCCGGAATGAACTGTTCCCCTCTTGTGCTCACTGCTGCGCTAGTGCCTGCCGGGATCTCTCCAGGGACTTGTGATTTCAAAGTTGGCCCGCACATCACCTAACTCTCTCCTTTCCTCATCCATCCTCTTGTCTACATAGCTACTCCAGAAGGAAGCCCTCCTTCCCTGTTTCCAGGACAAATGTGGCTCCTCTGTCTTCTAGACAGATGTCTCTCATATGCTGTTGACAACTGTCCCAAAGCAGCAGAGCCCTGAGGAGGTTGTGTCCCTGTGAAAGGCACAGCACAGCTCTTTTGCTAAAATAGGCAATCAAGAGTCACAATTCACTGGCACAGAAAATTATCTGATTGACAAAGCGTTAATCAAGACACACTACTCCCTGCCCACACAATACTGTGCCAACCTCTTGGCTCAACCTTTGGCCCTTCCATGGTTTGGCCTCAATGCACCGTCATTGAGGATTGATTTTCCCGGACACTTACTTTGAGCCTCTCACATCTGTCTTGTCAAGATGACGTACCCTTGGCTCTTCTCCACACTAGTATCTCTGTCTCTATCTATCTACGCATCATTTGAAGTTTAGGTACTATCCGTGGTAGGTGCTTCTGGATGACCACAGCCAGAAGAGATCCTTCCTCCACTGAACCCCTCACAACCTGTACATAGCTACCTGTCAATTTCCTTACTAAATTTAAGGACCTTCCAACCTCCATAATTTTAATAACCAATAGAAAGTACACATTCTTGGTCAAATTATCCTAAGTCTCAATATTTTTAGTTCCTGTACTAACATAACAAGACAACATATTCTTTTAAGCTCATTGAATCATTTGTTTTCAGGTATCATGACACAAGTGTTTCAGAATTCTTTAAAGACCATGCCAATGTAAATTAGTGTTTCACACATGCCTAAGTAGTGACAGCGACATGATTGCTTCATGTTAATACTTCCCTCTGCTCAGCGCAGCTCTCAACCTGTGGGTCACGAACCCTTTGGGGATCAGATGACCCCTCTACAAGGTTGCCTAAGACCATCAGAAATATCAGATATTTACATTATGATTCCTAACGGCAGCAAAATTACAGTTCTAAAGTAGCAGTGAAAATAATTTTATGGTTGGGGGAGGGGTGTCACCACAACAAGAACTGTATTAAAGGGTTACAGAATTAAGAAGGTTGAGAACCAACGACTTGGCAAGATGTGATGTTTGCCATCGAATAAAGGACTTCCGGGTATGAGGATCTGGGGTTTACATCACAGAACCACCTGAGCATCTACTTTCTAGGTTTATTAGCAGACATATAAAACTAGGCCCTTCAAGCTAAGTGAGACTACAAAGATCACTCTTTATTTTGGAAAAATTCACAGAAGAGACATGACCACAAAAAAAAAAAGTAGAAAAACCTAAGTTCTCCCACTAGAGTCCAGCTAAGAGAGAACTACAAACCCGATTCTAGTTCTAAGTAATTTCTTCCAAAGAGTGGCAACGGAATTCACCAATTATAGGCATTAATTTATTCCTTTGCCCATCAAAGTTTGGGCGTCCTGGGTTAATGAAAAGCAGTGTTACATTGAACTCTGTAGTATCTTTTTAAAGGAGGCTGGCAAATGGGATTTATTCTATGCAGTCACTTTCCATAGCTGCGAACATGAGGAGAGATACAATTTGGAACACAGAATCTGAGCCCCGATAGTTCTGTGATGTGATTGCCTGTGAACTTGACTGCTCAAAATAATATTCTTAAAAAAGGGACTTGACATCCTCTAGTGGTGAAACACAAGTTTGTTCCCAAAGTAATTGCATTTTTTAGTTCTGCCTTCCTTTTGAATATGGAAAGAAAAATATTACAGTGAACTGAAAGAACTGCTCATCCTCAAGAAAAATTAATTTTTAAAAGAATATGATCACAACTCTTGAGCAAAAGCTAAACATATATCCACAGAAGTGTTTTTGAATGTTCCATTTATATAGTACTCTTTAAATAGGTACTATGCCGCCAAAGTTCAATCCATCTGAGCCATACACGTACGAATACACGGGCCTGTAATCTTGAACATATCACAGGTATTGTTTTTGTAATAACCCTAGATTTTAATCTGAAGAGCCCTTAAATTACAACCTTTGCACAGAGACAAAATTTAAAAACCACTTAAGGTTGGACTCTACTCGAAATAATTATCTAAAAAGGAAACAAAACAAATGCTTGGAGAAGTGTGTTGTCGTGTGTAGCCAAGAAAGATGGCACAGAGACAGGTAACGTAGGACTTGGGAAGGTGAGGGGGTAAGGCAGGAGGAGCCTAAAATTGAGAGCAGCCAGGAATACATGGCAAGACCCTGTCTCAAACAAACAAAAAACAAAGAAAGGAAAGAAAGAAATGTGGCATTTTGAGGTGGTAACTTCTGCCTCTTTGAAATAATAAAAGACGGGCCTACATGCCTCTCTCTTTCAATAAAGAAATGAAATCCCGTATAAACCAATGGTTTAAAAATAATGGAGTGTTTGAATGTGTATTCGACCTGAATTTGATGGATAGGACTCACATGGTGGAGAGAATCAAGTCCCACAAGCCGTTCTAGCACAGGTCTGTTTGAATACTAACAGCAGAAATAGAAAAATGGGGAAAAATACACAGCCAGAAATATAAGACTATGCACACCCATACCTATGTTGGTCATAGATAAAACACGCTTATTAGAAATTTAAATTTCTAGGCAAAGGTGTGGGGGAATTGTTTACTAGAAGGAAGTAATAGCCAAAAAAAAATCCCACTTTTAATGAAAGGGAGTACTTCAGCCTGGTGGGTAAAGACACTTGCTGCCAAGTGTGAGTCTGATTCCCAGAACCCAAATGGAAGGAGAGAACCAACTCCTACAAGTTACCTTCTGATCACCCACATGCATGCTGTGGCATGCACACAACCCCCTCTCACACACACACACCCGCCCCCCCCACACACACGACGTAAATAAATATAATATTTAAAAAGAAAATATTTCAGTGACGCATGGTTGACTTGCATAGGAACTGTTAAGACACACGGCCAGTTCATTCCTTAACGCGATCGGGCACTGGATATACTTCAGTGGCAAGTTTGTTTCTGTCTCAACAAGTTCAATGCAGATCTACAAAGCATTCAAGGACAAACTCATGCCTATTAAATCACTATAACAATTTTTTTCCCCCAGAAGCTGTTACTTACCCATGCCTTATTCACAACCAAGCATTCCCTGAATTGGGGCGCCTGTACAGTTCCCAGCTCATCAAGTTCCCCAAACAATTACTTAGGCATCTCTCCTCCACCCAAACCAAAATAATGATAACCGATCTTTCAAACACAGTAAGTCAAAAAGTCAACCACCCTACAGGATGTAGCTCGACTTGGAAATAAATTCAGGACACTTTGTCCGTCTTAAACTCAGGTGTAATTCATTAGAGTTTAGGTACAATGGCAGATCCGTGATGGGAAAATACTGCTAAGCCCAATGGATCTTGCATGTTAAAAATAAGCATGCCCTCTAAACCGGTATGTTGGGGTGGGGATGAGAGGTGGAGCGATTTTTTGCATTTAGAAAACAATTGCTTCTGGTGGTGGGTGTGTAGAAGCAGTAACAGCTTGCTCCAGCGGGGTCTGCAACTTAACATTTCTTTAAAATAACAAAGCGCCTCCCGCCCCCATCCCAAGTGTAGGAAGGTACAAGGAACAGCTTACTGGCCAGGAATAGAACGGGGGCGGAGGGGGGGGGGGTGGAGAGCGCGGGGGGGGGGGGGTGTTAGGAAGGAGGGTATGATTTGCCATACAGTCCCCGAAGACGAAAAACAAAGTCACGAGGAGGGGGAGAAGGGAAAAAAAAAAAAAAAAGTTGGCTTCATAGTATGGTGAGATGGGCGCGAGTGGGAAGACATTCCGAGGGTGTGAGCCATGTCCCTGCGTGTCCGTGGTGGCGGTGGCGGCGGCGGCGGATCGTCAATACCCGAGGCCTTGAGGGTCAACCCCCCGCGGCGGAGCCAACGCTCCAGCTCTGGCTACCGGCGCCACGGGAGGAGCAGAAACTCCGAGGAGTCGGTGGGGCTGGGAGATCGGTGCGATCGGGGCGAGCTCGGGAGCCGGGTCGGCCGTTTCCCCGGCCCGCGGGCCGGTTCCCCCCCCCCCGCTCCCCGGCCCCGTGCACCTGGCCGCGCGCTCCCGCCGCTCGCCCGCTCGGCGGCTCCGGGGGGGGGGGGGTCTCACGCCTCCCCGCGCCCCCGACCCCCGGCCTCCCCGCGTCCCCGACCCCCGGCCTCCCCGCGCCCCCGACCCCCGGCCTCCCCGCGCGCCCCCGACCCCCGGCCCTCCCCGCGCGCCCCCGATCCCCGGCCTCCCCGCGCCCCCGACCCCCGGCCCTCCCCGCGCGCGCTCACCAGCCGCGCGCCCCCGGCCCTCCCCGCGCGCTCCGGCCTGCTTCCACCTGTTGTGGCCCCGCGGGCGCTCGGCGGTGCCCGGTCGCGCGGCCGGGGAGGGTCGCTGGCGCCGGCAGGGTGTGTGTGTGTGTGGGGGGGGGAGGAGGCGCGGAAATCACGCCCCCGCCCCACTCTCACGGACGACCCCCCCCCCCGCCTCCCGCGACCCCCCCTCCCGTCTCGGCCGCGTCGTCACCTGGGTCGCTGTGCGCAGCGCCGTCGCCGCCCCTGTGGCCGCCGTCGCCGCCAGCTCCCTGCTCCGCCATGGTGCTCCGATGACGCGCCCCGAGAGCCGCTCCGCCCTCTTCCTCGGCTCCGCTCCCGCCGGGGCCCCCGCCTCCCGGGGCCCGCGGCCCAGCCAGGTGAGCGGCGGGCGGGCGGCCTGCGCGGGCGGGGCGGGGACGGCGAGGGCGAGCGCGGGCCCGAGGCCGCCGGGGGCTCGGCGCGCCCCCTCGTGGGCAGGTGCGGCTCCGCAGGCGGCGCCCCGACGGCCGCGGTCAGAGCGGTTCCCGCAGAGCTCCGGGTCCCTCCCCCGCCTTCCCAGCCACCGTCGCCCGAGGTCGCCGCCGCCGCGCCTGAGTGTGATGAGAGCGTCCACCCGCGGCCCCGGTGCGGCGGAGGCAGGCGTTCGAGCGCTCTGTTCCCCTTTGAACTCGGAAGCCGCCAGGTCAGGGTCGGCCTCTTGGGGACCGGAGTTGGTGGTGACAGTCGCCCAAGGAGAGGAGGCCACGTGGGGGAGCCGAAGTGCACCGTCTGGATCCCACGCCGGGAGCCCCGGCTCCCGTCCTGCGCTCTGGCTTTTCACCTGGCCAGCTGCGTGTCGGATGAGTCCCAGGACGACGCACGGTAGTAGTGAAACCTGCGTTGACTGGTGTGGCTTTTCTTAGTCTTGGTTTCCGATTAGTAGTAAACTGCCTTGTGACTCTATCTTGCTTAGAAGGACCAGGAGCTTGGGGAAGGCGGTTTTAAAAAAGAAACATTAGCAACTGAGAAACAAATTTCTGCCTGCGCAGGCAAAATAAATGATAAGCAGCAAAATGCTGAGGGGGTGCTTAAGTAACCTACAGAAATGGAAACAAAAGAAGGAACAATCCGAAGGAACACGGCAGCCAACCAATTCTGCCTTCACACAGAAAGACACGTCCCCACCATTGGTTAGCTGAACCTAACCAGCGAGCCCTTTATACTTTGAAAACCCACATTTATATTTTGAAACCCCACATAATGTACCGGGGACACTAAAGCATGTCAGAACAGTGTCACCATACTTATTTGCAAAAACTGTCACTCCAAGGCCAAGATTGGACTGAATCACTTCATTTATAGGTTTTTTTTTGTTTTTGGTTTTTGGTTTTGGTTGCTTATGGATTTTCCCAAAGCACCATGCCTGTAGTGGAAGAGGCAAACCGATCTTTGAACAGTGAGATAGATGAACATCATATTGAAATCAGTCTTACTACATTTTCCGTCAGTACACAGAAAGCCCCAGGTGAGCAGAGGAAGCTCTCAAGAGAGAGCTCGGCTTGGGCCTCAGTAAAGATGTTTTACACATGAAGCCAGGAGAGTTCAGGACACCTGACTTTGAACACCAGAAAGACTCTCTCTGCTGAATGTAGTTCGACTATTTGGCAGACCCCTGGAAAAGCGAGGTGATTTGATTTCAGCCTTTGACTGACATTAAGTACAGAAGTCAAGACATTATTTATACTAGGTGTTTCTATCCCACCTTAATCCCTGAGGCAGGAGGGAGCTTGAGGTCAGGCTAGACTAAATAGTGAGACCCTGTCTCAAAACAGACAAACAACAAATCAAAAGAGGTTGTTGGTATGTGTTTGTTTGGTGGTAGCTGATCTGGCGTGTGCTTGTCCGAACTCCCATTCTTCATTTGTTCCAAGTTCGTTCCAATAAGGACACCAAACCCTATACACGCAAGGCCTTGGACAGACTCCTAGTTCCAAGCCTACTTCCGTGTCTGCCACACAGTAGACTGTGAATTCAGGCATCTGTTAAATGTCAGATGCCACCATACTGTCCTTCAGGTTGTCCTTTACTGGGAACACAGGCGCCATCTGCCTTGAGCTCTCACATCCAACTCCAAAGTTTTCCTGACTCCCAAGGTTCTCCTTTTCAGGGTGGAGCTGAGCCTCTGGCTCCTTCTGTTTCCCCGGGATGCCTCTCCACCCAGGGCGGTGTGATCCCGACAGTCTATTCTCTTGACTTTCCATCTGCCTTCACGTGTTTTGTTCAACAAAAGTAACAGTATGGACTCTTGAGACATAGTTATTTTAAAAAAAAGATACCCAGTTTTTCCTGCTCATCTGTAGTGGCTTTCTGAGTCACAATATCCAGTTGCCGAGTGTTTTTCAATCAATGGTTCCCCCTGACATCTGGGTGTTTTTTTGTGTGGTTGGCTGGCTTGGGTTTGGTTTTGTTGGTGTTGTTTTTGACGGACTCTTGTAGCCCAGGCTGACCTCCAACATTATGTAGTTGAGGCTGGCCTTGAATTCCTGAATGATCTGTTTTCAGCTCCTGGTTGTTGTGATGGTAGGAGCACAATAACACTCCCTCTTACTCTTCCCCTCCACTTCCCCCTTCTCCCCCCCCCCCACTCTCCCCCAGTCCTCCCTCCACATCCCCCCATCCCCTAGACAGTTTATGGACTTGATCCCGCATTATCCTCTACTGTCTCATCACTAACTAGTTCCCACTCATTCCTCAGACTCCTCTGTTGACCTGGATCTCCCCCTTGCAGTTGGCTCCCGAGATCTCAGCACCTCCCAAAGTTTAAGCCACCGCTCTCCTATCCGCTTTGTCGCTCATGACCCCCATGTATGATTAACTCCACCATGCAGACTCTCAAGTCTAGACTATACACTCCCGACTCAGTACCAGCCTTCTCCAGCACTGTCTTTAATTGTGTGTGTTTGTTCAACCATGTCTGCGCGTGTATGGATGTGTGGAGATCAGAGGTCAACCTCCGGTGTCCTGCCCACCTTGTTTTTTGAGGCAGGGTCCCTCCTTTGCTTTAGAGCTTGATTCTAGGCTGGCTGCAGAGCCGCCAATTCCTACCTCCCCAGTGCTGGGGTTACAAGCACATGGCACCACACCTGCCCTTTTTTTTTTTTTTTTTTTTTTTTTTTTTTTTAATGTTATTCTGGGAATTGAACTCAGGTCCTCAGCTTACAAGGCAAGCACTTCACTGACTGAAATCTCTCTCTAGCCTGTTCTCAATATTCTCTGTGCAATTCTATCATTATACTCTATGAATTCAATATATCCAGAACGCTTCCCACTCACCGAACTTCTACCTTTGAATCTCTCTCTTATCCACACAGGCTCGGCATTTATCCCATCCTCTCTGTCGTCATCACCGCCCAGAGTTTCCTGATCTTTACCATTCACTCACGCCACCCTGACTTCCTACTAGCCTGACTGGTGCCGGACCCTCTTTCAGATCTGAGACAGGCTTGGAACGGCCCTGTTCAGTCAATTCCCCTTAATCCCCCTTACACCCTGTCACTAGGCTACTAATCTTCTCAGACTGGACCACTTCACACAGCCCTCCCACTCGACCACTTCACACAGCCCTCCCTCCTGGCTCAAACCCTTTAATAGATCCCCTATTTCCACATCATTTGATGTTAACATCACTCCCTCCCCATCCCCACTCCCCTAGAGTCCCTTCACACACACACACACACACACACACACACACACACACACACACACACACACACCCCTGCTAACTTTTGCCACTAGCATGTGACTTCCTGCCTAATGGATTTTCTCATTTTCCTCAGAATGCTCCAGAGCCTCCTCGTTAGCCGGCTGTCTGCCCGCGGTGATTGCCCGGACCTGACTATCACCTCTGAAAGGCCCAGGTTAAGATCCTTCCCCGACAAGAAGAAATGTGTCCCCCTGCCCGGGCCCAGTAGGCCTACCCTCTGAACTTCACTAGCAGACGCTGGGTTTAACACTTGCCCAACCCGTGAAACCTGGGGAGATTTAGGGCAAATTTGGGTCTTCGATCTGATGTCCATTTTTGCTGGCAGGGACTTGGTCTTCTGTGGGTGTCTCTAGGGGGTTTCCATAGAGTCTGGAACTATGAGTTATCGTAATTGTCCACAGGCTGAAATGTCCTTGCTGACATCGTATACACTATCTGCATTTTATTTCTCTTCTACGGCGCTATAGTGTCTCACACGTCATAGCCATTCAAGTGGGTGATGTTCATCTTTGTCAGACTCCTTTATGCAGTGGCCTAGCAATGAAGGGAGCAAGGTATGCCACGGCAGAATTCAGAGAAAGAGACAAGGATGTTGTTAAAAACAAAAACAAAAACCACCACTGGATCCATTTCTGGAAAGTCCAGTTTCTCTCTCTTACAGTACCGGCACCACCATCCCTGCGTAACTCCTCTGCCCTAAACTATATCCCCAGGCTCGGCTTTCCTGTCTTGAAAAGCTTCTTGATTCCCTCTGGCGGATGTAGCCATAGCCCTTCCTACACTTTTGAGTCCACTTCTGACAGCGGGCTTGAGGGGCAAGAACCTCGTCTTCACTCACATACCACAACATGTACTGCCCAGCATTTATTATTTACTTCTCGTGCTGGGTGTATGATGTGTGCGGACTCAGCTTGCACACACGTGTGGAGCGCAGGGGACAACTGTTGCATCACTTCCCTCCCTCCACCTTTACACGAGTGCTGGGGATTGGTAGATCATAGGCTACCAGGCTCGCACGGCAAAGCACCTTCACTCACTGAGAAGAGCAATAAGCAATCTTTTTTTTTTTTTTTTTTTTTTTTTTGGTTTTTCGAGACAGGGTTTCTCTGTGTAGCTTTGCGCCTTTCCTGGAACTCGCTTTGGAGACCAGGCTGGCCTCGAACTCACAGAGATCCGCCTGGCTCTGCCTCCCGAGTGCTGGGATTAAAGGCGTGCGCCACCACCGCCCGGCTCAATAAGCAATCTTAAGCACTGAACTTGGCCCACTGTTGTCAGGGACAAGGACAGAATCTCTAGTTAGTGGAAAAATACAGACCCCCCATAAGACAGGGAACTAGATCATCTTACAGTCAGGTTGCCTAGCAACAGGACATTGAGGCAGAGCCCTTGACCCTTTCACCCTGTAAACATCCTATACAAACATCCTGTTAGCTTGCCCCACCTTATGCAGATGACAGCTTCTTGCTCCCCCCACCCTGCAGGAACTATATAAACCCTCTTGGAGAAAAATAAAGTTGCACCTTGATCAGAATCTAGACTTGGTGTATTTCCTTGTATCTCCTGTCCCTATCAGTCTGTCCTTAGGGTGGTCGAGAACCCGTTGAAGCCCTGCGGGCAGGGCCCACTGTCAGTATTTAACAAATGCTTTCTGAATGAGAGACTATCCCAAGAGCAGGCAGCACCTGAGCTCTTATTATACCCTAAGCACTAAGTACCTTACCTGTGTTGTCCTTACTGGAATCTTAGAACAACCCTTTGAGGAAGGCACACGATTTCCCCATTTCACAGTGGCGGCAACTGAGACACAGAGATGTTGTGTGATGTTTTATTTGTGTTTCTGACAAATAAAGCTTGCCTGGAGATCAGAGGGCGGAGCTAGCCACTAGTTAACCATAGAAGCCGGGCAGTGGTGGTGCACACCTTTAGTCCCAGCACTTGAGAGGCTCACACCTTTCATCCCAGCACATGGGAGTTGGAGACAGGAATATAAGGCAGGTGGAGACAGGATCTTGGCCCCCATTTGGTCAGAGGATCTGGAGAGGTAAGAGGTCACTGGTGGCTGCTCCTGTTTCTCTGATCTTTCAGGTTATTACCCGGATATTTGACTCCTGGTTTTTATTGATAAGACCAGTTAGAATCACATTACACAGAGAGGCTAATTTGCCAAAGGTCACAAGTTAGGAGAGAGCTTTCCTCTGGGATAGGGAATGGTTACGGTCTCTACACTTAACTGAAGCCACCATCTCCCTACCATACCTATTAGAGGGGCTGTTTCCCTCTTTGCTTTCTCAGAAATGAGGTGTGATTTGATGATGTTAATTCACCCATGGGGAATTTAAAAAGATGTGCCTGATCCTTTTTTTTTTTTTAGATTTATTTTAAATTATGTGTATGTATACATGTCTCTGTGTGCATATGAGTTTGGGTATCCATGGAGGCTGGAGGCAGATTCCCCTGCAGCTGGAGTTACAGGTAGCTACAGGCTGCCTGATGCGGGAGCTGGGAACCAAACTTGGATCCTTTGGAAGAGCAATAAGCAATCTTAACCACCGAGCTACTCCTCCGGTCCCAAGGTACCAGCCGGGTCCTTCAGGTGGCAGATCACTATCTTTTTGTTGTTGCTAGACTTGAACTTAAAAGTCCTACACAGAGCTAAGCTAGTACTCTGTGATATTACCTAATAAGTATCTAGGTCATTTGAACATGAATCTAGGTTGAGAAGCCCTGGCACAGTGATGCTAAAGGCGTTCCCAGTACAAACCTCTCATGAACCTTAATCCACAACGGAACGACCTCCTTGTGTGTATGAAACAAAACGCTAACAAAAGCCTGATGGTGACTTGGGAACATATTGTGAATTATGAAGGCTCAAAGCCGGGGTCAGGGGTGGAGGATGGGGAGGCAACAGAGACAGACACTAGGGGTGGGGGAAGACCTAAGGAAAAAATGATATGATTGAAGAGTTGGTTGAAAATGGGTAGCTTGCTGGGCAGTGGTGGTGCACGCCTTTAATCCCAGCACTTGGGAGGCAGAGGCAGGCGGATCTCTGTGAGTTCGAGGCCAGCCTGGTCTATAGAGTGAGTTCCTTCTATACAGAGAAATCCTGTCTTGAACCCCACCCCCACCCCCCCAAAAAAAGAAAATGGGTAGCTTGATCCTATGTACATATAGTATATAAGAAGCATTTAAAACATTGGAATTAACGAGACAAACTGTGTCTGAACCTATTTTCTTCAAAATCTCCACTAAGGCGTCAAGAGACTAGTGACCTGTCCAAAGTTTTAAAGTGTTTTAAAGAAGTGTTTTAAAGTCCAAAGTGTTTTAAAGAAGATCAACCCTGTCACTGTCCAATAAGAAAATATTCAGGAGAATATTTCATATATTCAGATGCACTATATGATGCATTATACTTTTATTTTCACATAGAAATAAAGACCATTTCTATTATTGAAGACTTTTGTATGGGTTAAACCGTGGTACTCGAACACCTCTTCATTGTTTCCATCCTGTGTCATAAGCACATTCTTGTGTATGTCAGAAATTTATGTATCCATCCATGAGCTTCAGATCTCATCCTGTTAATGTGGGAAGGCTCATAAAAATATAAGATTTGGCTCAAAGCCTCCCCAACTATGGGACCCACATCAAGGAGACAGAAACGAAAGTGCTGTCTATTAGGATCCTTCTTGCAAACCTCTCAGATATGGAGTGGTGTCTACTTTTTCAAGGTAACGTGGGGTCTTGGGAAAAATACACCGAGGTTTTACAAATTTTCACTTTTACCACTCTCTTGCCCCCCTGTTGTCCCCAAGGAACAATCCAGATCCCAACTGTCTTCTCCTTGTTTGAGTAGAGACAGAGTCTACTTAATATCATAACTGAACAACAACAGCAACAACAACAAAACCCAACTAAATTTTAACCCAGTCATTTAGTTCATCAGCACAAAATAAGAATGTTCTGGACTTTATCAAAGTAGCATGTTGGCCATCTTTTTACTTTCTGGGTAAACATGTCATAATCGGTAGCTTTAGAACAAGCTAACATCACCATGAGCCAGGCATGTGCAACTGGTGTAGTTCAGTAGTACAGAAACACCTCCAACAAACACACTCCGGGCCAGAAACTTCAGTTACAAAATACAGTCAATATGACAATCAGTACACAGAGTAGAGACCATTACTCTTAGATTCTGCACACTTAAAAAAAAAAAAAAAAGAACTTTATACAACGATCCAAATTATGCATTTCTGCTCAGGTTCTCAGGGTACATCACACACACAGAGAACCCTTAAAGAGCTGTGGTCACATTTTGGTTTTGATCCAGTGGTACACTGTCACCCGAAATGTCCTGCCTGTTCCACGATAAACATTGGGGCTGAAACGCAATAGCTGCTGACTTAAAAATATCTCCATCAAAATGTGCAGACTAAAACAATCCTCGGCATTAGGATTCTCATTAGGATTATTTTAAGCCTTTATGAGGAGTCCTCAGGAATTTTGTAGAAATAGAAGTCAGGAAATTTCAGTGTGTTTTGTCTTTTTTTTTTTTTTCTTTTGACACGAGTAAACAAATACTGGATTTAAAGTGCAGCTTCTTTCTCTCCTCCCTTCAACTCGCCCTCCCCTAAGGAGAGCAGTTCTGTGTTGATGTTCAGAGTCTCCGCTGGAGGTTAAACCAGTGGCTGGCCCTCAGGCACGTTTGTCCCGAAAGTCAACGATGGCCTTCCACAGCGTGCACAGCATCCCTCCCCTGTTGAGAGACAGAAGAACAAGCTGACGGGTACTGTCCCCTGGAACTGCCCCTGAGACAGAAAAGGGACTTCTGAGCTTTCAGCTCCCTCAGTGGGAGCACGAAGATCCCAGGCATATCAGGCCTTATGTATCCTGTGTGCATGGTATGGTCTCGCCACACCCTTCACACCTTCCCTTTCCATTTCTGAAAAGACCAAGGTGCAAAACATGGCCTGACATTTTCAGCATTCTTGAAATGTGTCTTTACAGAAAGGGCTGTCAGTTACGGATCTACTTGGGTTGGGAGAGAAAACTGTCGCGAGGAATTGTACCAGACGATACAAAGTGCTCCAGCTGGTAAGCCAGCAATACATCTACGGCTCATCATGGATCATGAGCTAAATCAGAGCATTTCTTCACGGGCGCCTTTGGGTATTTGCATGCATTTGGTCTGCAATATTATTTAAGAAATCTCTTCCAGTTGATTGCCATACACTTATGAGAGTTCCCCCCGCAAAGAGCCTGGCCCAACTAATTCAGCTTACTCAGAGGGTTGAAAAGCAGACACAGCCCTTCCTGAGCCTGCCAGGCTGGTTAGAGACCCTGCAGGGCAGGAACCCAGACTTCCTGTTCTCAACCCAGGGTTCTTTTCCTTCATGACAAGCATGTAAGGGGGAAAATGGTACCTTAGTCTGAGGCACTTCAGATCGTCACGTGTAACATAGTAGAGAACATCCACTAGTGTGTAATCCTCAGCCAGAAACTGCAGAGAGAGAAAAGCACACGTAGAATAAGATGCTTCACGTACCTTTAATGAACAAAGGCCGTCCACAAGACAAACACTGCTAATAATTAAGCATGAATCTAACAGGAAAGCCACAAAAAAAACAACCTTCTGGGAGTATGAGAGAAAAAGCCTTCTGATTGCCAACTTAGAAAGAAACACATCTGTATGATTCCCATGCTTACAGATTAGGGAGACTCGGGTTTAATCTCATGCGTCATTACGAAGGCTGCTTGCAGCTAGTGTTCTCATTGAACGAGTCTAGTGTTCCATAGCTCTGACTGTTCCCAAGTAGATCAACAATATTCTTGGGGCGCTGTTGCCTACGCTCAGTCTTCCAGCTTACTTTTTCATAGCCAGTAACAGGGGCTTTCCTGCAATTCACTGCAAAGTCAGTCCTGGAGGTGAGCGGAGCTTTTCATTGTAAAGCCGATAAAAGGGACGAGGAGTTAGTGGTTCATTACTTACTCCCCCCTTGATTGTGATTTGAGTCCAAGAGGACCAGTGTTTTGGAGAACTTGGTTGGGTGTATTGTTTTCTCTTAGCAAGAGAGCTATTTTAATTTAGTTAGCAGTAAATTGTTAAATGGAGATTTCTAAGAAGACTCTAAATTTTACGTAGTCCAATATATTGTGAAAAGAAAATTTTATTTTAGTTCTTTTAAATTGTAGGTATAAAGCTGAAGACAGTATAGAATTATTAAGAGGTCATTTATAGCAAATGGGAACTATTACATCTTTTAAAAATAGAGTTTATATGTACATTTGTATGTGGGTATGCGCACAGAGTACAGGTGTGGCTGAACTCCAGAAGAGGGCACTGGATCCCCGGGAGCTAGAGTTATAGGTGGTGAGCTGCCGGGTGTGGGTGCTGGGAACCAAGCCCAGGTGCTTTACAGGAGCGGTACACACTCTTGACTGCCGCAACATCTCTCCAACTCTCAAATAGTATGTCTTAATGTGTATATATGTTATACATGTAATCTCAAGCCCAGTGCTCTTCACGCCAACTATAAGTCTATGATGGTAAGAGAGGAGTTAGGTTGTAATAGATATAAAGTGAGTTGTGTAGAAAGTATTTCTGACCTAAATTCACCAGCTACATCTACTTTTTTCAAGTAGCAATTAATAGCCACTGTGTAGTAGAGACTAATAATGTTGCAGAAGAATTAAAAATTTAACAGAAGTAGCAGCAACAGAAGGCGATTTTTCTCAAGTTCTAGCTCCATTTGTTCCTTACTCTTCCTATTTTCAGTCCATAAACAATAGCATCCTTAAGGGTTATGGACAAAGGTGCATGTGTCTACCTTACCTCTTGCCTTTATACGTCTCGTACCTCACCCTAGAATGTACTGCCTTTCCTTGTCTGTCCTGTCCCCATATACACAGTTGGCCTAGTTTATAGTTACATGCTCCTTTAGACTCATTCATTGTCCTCTGGGAGAAACACACACATACACACACACCTGAAAACTTTGTGTCAGAATTTGCTGGTGTAAGAATTTTTTTTTTTTTTTAAAAATCAGTGGAATTCATCTATCTCTGCTAACGTATGAATCTCAGGAAGGCAGGACTATGTCTGGACTCGCTTAGCGGTGTGACCCTGTGCCTAAGGTACTTGGGACACAGTAAACACTCATCACTGTGTAGAGAAGTGGGATACCATGGATCCCACAGACAGTTCCTCTTTACCCGACTTATAGTGTCCTCATCAGCTCCGTTTTCCCTCAGCCAGCTGGTAAGTTCCGAATCTTCAGTGGTTGGACCAGGACAGTGCAGGCGGCACATGGGGAACCCAGGGATATCTAGAACCAAAATTGGGAGAAGTCTTGAGCTTCCCGTGGAAATTTCTGGCTAATTTGCAGACTGTCAGAGAAGAAGTTAAGATGGGCTGTATAATGACAAGCTACTCTCCTCGTAAAGGGAAGTCAGAAGTAACATTATACATACTTTTACATGAAATTGGTAATTTCTTAGAATTAACTTTGCATACCCAAATTATACCTTGTATTTTTCATGCAGCTAAGATGAGCAGTTAGCAGAATACTCTACAATTATAATCTCCCCCCCATTTGTAATAATACAAAAGAGCCAGATACCTGAACAAAAAAACTATAGATACAACTTCCTAACAATTAGCAAACAAGTTCACCTATACGTTCTCATAAAACAGATTTCTTTATTGTTTCAACCTATGGCATTTTTCTTACTGTCAGCTTATCCTATTTAAGTCTCTCCAGATCAGAAGGGAGAAAAGCCAGGATATGCTGAATACAAATGCTAAATTAAAAAAAAAAGTAGCATTGTTTTATTCGGGCAGTCTGTGAAGTCATTAAAAAGAAAGAGTGAAGTGGCAGAGATCAGTCTTCAATAATACATCATCAATAATCATCATCCCCGAGAGAGTGACTGTGAGCATGCAGTTTTACTGTGCTCACAGAAGATGAGCAGTTACTACAGTTAAGAAGGGGATCCTCACAAAGACATTCCGTCCGCTGGTCGAGGGAGGACAGCTGCTCACGGAACTATAAACTGCCTGCCGGCTCCCGGCCTTCTGTGGCGGCCTGGTTGAGCAGGCGTGTCTAGCTAGGACTACTTTGAAAGTCTCTGCTGCTCACCTATCGGTTGGGACTTGAGCTTCAGGTGTTTGATTTCTTGGTCTTTCTCCTCAATAGCTTGATGAAGGAGTGCTTGTAACTCTTTCTCTTTCCGAACTAGCTCTTCAAGTAATCTGCAGGAGAGAATCAGATCGGTTGATGGACCGATAAAGCAGGAGAGAAGAGTGATATGGTCAGCCCGGGTTTCTTTCTCAGGCTACAGTGAGCGCAGAGATCTGACAGAAACCAAAGACTCAGGGCTGGGTCAGAGGGCACGTTTACAAGCTCTCAGTCGATGGTCATGGAGCAGATCTATGGAAACTTGTAATCATCCTTCTCTTTTATTTATTTATTTATTTGTTTGTTTGTTTGTTTGTTTATCTATCGAGGTAGGATTTCTCTGTGTGGCCCTGGCTATCCTGGAACTCACTCTGCAGACAAGGCTGGTCTTGAACTCAGAGATCCACCTGCTTCTGCCTCGGCTGGGATTAAAGGCGTGTGCACCACCACTGCCCCAGCTGCCATGTTCCTTCTTAAACTATGAAAATTAGGTGAGGACTTAGGTGAGGCTGCCTCTTATAATATCTGGCACCAGACAAGGGCTCAATAAACGTCAGTGGTTATTGTTGCAATTGTAATCAGTGCTGCTATTTTCTTTCTGACTTCTGGGGGTGGGTGAGGCTAGTAAAGCATTTAAAAAGATAGCCGTGTTCTTTTTGGTACATTCAGTTCCTGCGGTGGATCTGGAGTATCATTTTTGGATCATTTTTTTGGCCACATACACATTAAATAAATCTAAAAAATAAAATACAAAATTATTAGCAAGTCCTTTAAGACAAATTACTGCATGGCCTGTAGCTCTCAGCAAGCCATCTCTGTTCCATTTTCTGACCATTGATAGATTTACTTCAGGACCAAGTACGGCCAAACATCTGTGTGTTTCCGTTGACACGCTGTGTAGGCAGCATGCTGTAACTGAGAGATAAGCCTGGGTCTGTGGACTGGATCAGCCACACACTTCCTGTATTCACCTTAGACATTTCCCAATGCTTCTGGTTTCCAGTTTTCTCGTTTGTTAAAAGGAAGTGGAAAACTTCTAGAAAGAACTGCAGTGAGA